GGCGGGGGCCGGAAAACGGCCCCGGCGGGAGACGGGGAGACACCAAAACCACCCAAACTGCGCCAGAATCACCCAAACTGCGCCAGAATCACCCAAACTGCACCAGAGGCACCAAATCCCCCCAAAACTGCAGCGAAACCCCCGCACCGGACCCGAGAGCCGCATCAAATCTGCACCCAACCTGCCCGGAATCACCAAAACCCTCCAAACTGCCCCAGAACTGCCCTCAAACTGCGCTGGGACCGGCACCGAGACCTCACCGAATCCGGCACCGAAACCTCGGGAAACTGCACCGAAATCTCACCGAATCCGGCACCGAAACCTGCACCAAAACCTCGCTGAACCCCTGGAAGCCTCTCCAAGAGCTCACCGAATCCGGCAGCGAATCCGGCACCAAAACCCACACCAGAGCCACCACCAAGAGCAGCACCGAATCCTCAGGGAAACCTGTGCCGAAACCTCACTGAATCCTCACCGAATCCTGAGCCAAGACCTCACCAAAACCTGCACCGAAATTCACACCAGAGCTACCGCCGAATCTGGCACCGAAAACCCCACCGGAGCCACCACTGAAACCAGCACCGAATCCTCAGGGAAACCTGCGCTGAAACCTCACCGAATCCTCACTGAATCCTGAGCCAAGACCTGCACCAAGACCTCACCGAAACCTGCACTGAAATTCACACCAGAGCTACCACTGAATCTGGCACCAAACACCCCACCGGAGCCACCATCGAGACCTGCACTGAATTGTGCACTGAAACCTGCACCAAAACCCACACCGGAGGCACCACCGAAACCTGCACCAAATCCTCAGGGAAACCTGCACCGAAACCTCAGCGAATCCTCAGGGAAACCTGCGCCAAAACCTCACTGAATCGTCACCAAATCCTGAGCCAATACCTGTACCAAGACCTCACTGAAACCTGCACCGAAATTCACACCCGAGCTACCACTGAATCCGGCACCGAAACCTGCACCAAAACCTGCACCAAAACCCACACTGGAGCTACCACTGAGACCAGCACCGAATCTCAAGGAAACCTGCCCTGAATCCTCACTGAATCCTCACTGAATCGTGAACCACGACCTGCACCAAGACCTCACCAAATCCGGCACCGAGACCTCACCGAATCCAGCACCGAATCCTCCCCAAACCCCCCCGTCCCGGGGGGATGGATCGGTGCCCCCCGTTCCAGATGTGGCGGGACTACCTGGGGCTGGCGGCGGCGGTGGCGGCGCTGGCCCGTGCGCGGCGGGAGGAACCTGAGGGTGATGCCACCACCAGGACCCCCACCACTATCACCACCATCACCCCCACCCCCACCACCACCGGCACCGCCGCGGTGACACCGGCGTCCCCCGGCCCCCCCGGGCAGGGGGTGTGCAGCTTCTGCCGGCGCAACGGGGAGGCGGTGTCGGTGTGGCGGGGGCACAGCCTGCGGGACGCGGGGGGCCGGGTGCTGTGCCCGGTGCTGCGCGGCTACGTCTGCCCCCAGTGCGGGGCCACGCGCGAGGGGGCTCACACCCGACGCTTCTGCCCCCTCACCCGCCGGGGGTACGCCTCCGTCTACAGCCGGCCCCCCCCGGGGACCCCCCCCACGCACCGCGGGCCCCACGCGCACCCCTAGGGGGGCTTTGGGGGGATCGGCCCCAAAACGGGACAAAAAAGGGGGGTTTTGGGGCTTCCTGGCACCACTGGTGTCACCACGCTTTGGGGGAGGGTCCCATCTGACCCCCCCTCCTCGGCACAACTGAATTGGGGGGTCCCCACCTGCTCGGCGCAGGAATGAGCATTCACACTGATTGGCCCCAAAACGGGCCAAAAAAGTGGGGTTTTGGGGCCTCCCGGCACTGGGTGGGGCTGGGGGGCACTGGTGTCACCACGCTTTGCAGGAGGGTCCCACCCGACCCCCCCTCCTCGGCACAACTGAATTGGGGGGTCCCCACCTGCTTGGCTCAGGAATAAGGGTTCATACTGATTGAGCCCAAAACGGGCCAAAAAGGGGGGTTTTGGGGCCTCCTGGCACCGGGTGGGGCTGGGGGGCACTGGTGTCACCGCGTTTGGCCAGAGGGTCCCACCCGACCCCCCCTCCTCAGCACGAGGCTGAACCAAATTGGGGGGGTCCCCACTTGCTCGGTGCAGGAATGAGTGTTCACGCTGATTGACCCCAAAATGGGCCAAAAACATGGGGTTTTAGGGCCTCCCGGCGCCAGGTGGGGACAGGGGCACCCATGTCACCACACTCTGCCGTTCGGCGAGCGCCACGACACGACCCCGGTGGAAAAACACCCCAAAAAGGAGTTTCTTTCCCCAGCCCCTGGTTGGGTGAAGCCCCCCCGAGGGTGAGGACTGAACCCCCGGAGAGAAGCTGGCTGGTTTTGGGTTGGTTTGTTGGGTTTTTGGGGGCGCCGGCCGGGCTCCCTTTTCTGTTCTTTAACCGTTATTCCCCCGCGTTGAGGGAAGGCGTTTTTATTTGTCCCGAATTGTGTTCAAACTGTTGGTTTTTGGTTAATAAAGTCCCTCTGGATCCGGCTCCTTCCGCCGCCTCCCGCCCGGCTGCGCCGCGGCTTCGGCCTCCGCAGGGACTCCAGGCCCCGGTGGGCGCCCATGGCCAGGCGGCTGCGGGGACCCCCAGATCAGCCGGGGACCCCCAAATCCCCCGGGGACACCCCAGTCACCTGGGGACCCCCCCCAATCCCCCAGGACCCCCCTGGGAGCCCCCCGGCGCCATCACTCACTTGAGGTTGGAGAGCTCCAGGATGAGGCCGCAGACGACGGCGCTGGCGTCCTCCCTGCCAGGAAAACGAGGGGTTTGACCCAAATCCGGGGGGTTTTCACCCAAAAGGAGGGGGTTGTGTGTGTGTCCCCCCACCTCCCCTCTCACCAGGGCTGTGGCTGTGCCGGGGTTCTCCCCTCGGTGCCCGTCGGTGGCTCCGGGTCCT